AGTCCTCAGGGTCCTCCACCCTGCATTCAGCCACAACACGCACACACACACACATTCACGCACAGACACACACACATACACACACTGTCGCCGCAAGCATGACAGCGAAACCTCAGGCAGCTCGGTAGTCTCCCGAGCACACACACACAAAAAAACATACACTCTCAGAATCACCACCACCATCACCATCACCATCATCAGCATAATCAGCATCATCAGAATCAGCATCACCATCCAAAACCACCATCATCATTATCATCACGATCATCATCGCCAGCATTATCATCACCTCCACCACCACCACAACCATCATCATCATCACCATCGTCATCATCGTCGTTGTAGTCGTCGTCGTCATCGTCATCGTCAGATTCATCTTCATCCTCACCATTTCCTCATCAGCATCCTCATCCTTATCCTCATCCTTATCCTCATGCTCATCACCATCATCACCATCATCATCCGAATCACCGTCACATGTTCATCATCAGCAGCACAAGCATCACCAGCATCATCATCATCAGCATCATCACCACCATCATCCAGGTCAACAGCTCCACCAGAACCATCGTAGCCAGCTTCACCGAAACCGCCATCAGGATCACAATCGCAATCGTCCCTGCCGTCGTCGTCGTAGTCGCCATCAACACCATCAAGGTCGATGAACTTCGCGCACGGCGCCCCGCTGTGCGCGAAGCGAAGCCACTAATCTCCGCGCCGTTGTGCCCTCGCGCCGCCCCCTTGGAGCAGCGCCCCCGCTCTGACCCCGACCCGCGACGCGCAACATGTGACAATCTTTGCGCCACCGCGGGTGGCCGACATCACCAGCATCATCAGCGCCGCCCTCCTCCACCTCAAGATGCCCACCGACTGGGGAAGGAGACCGCGGCGGATGAGCGACAAAGACGGGCGGAGAGGAGGAGGATCATGACGACGACGACGACGAGCGGGGAGGAGGATGAGGCGAAGCAGGAGCAGGAAGCGAGAGCTGGGGAAGCCGATGCCGCTACTCCCCAAACCTCTCCGTGGATGCCTCCAGACCAGGACTTCGAAGCGAGTCCAGCCGTGCGGCGAGGGCCCCCCCGGGAGGCCCAGGACGGCGAACACGAGGCACGGGTAGCGGTATTGCTACATGTGTTTCCCGTGGGGAGCAGGAGAATCATCAGCTTCGCCAGCCTCTGCGTCGGGATGCCAACCAATCGGCCGAAGTGTCTTCAAGAAGGGGCCCTCGAAGTCCCGACCCTCTCCCTACGGAAGGCGTTCGGTCCCGAGTTTTTTTTTGGTTGACGGCCCCAGGGCCCGGCGAGGGCCCCCAGAGACCGAACAGGGCAAGAACCCTCCATCGTGGTTTGTTTTGGGACGCGAGCGTTTCTGGGTCGTCATTCTAGATGGGGTCCGAGAAAAGATAGGGCTGAAGGATCTCGCGCCGCATCGGCGACGCATCGTTGACGTCGGCAAAGCATCGGCAAAGCCGGGCCACATCGAGCCGCATCGCCGATGTATCGGCGATGCGGCGCAATTCTCCGACCTCATCCACTCGGACCCCATTTGGGAGGCCTTCTCTGGGTGGGGCAATGATCGCCCCCCTTGGATCCACGTGGGGGGTTGGGCACGTGCAGTCGAAAAAAGGCGGAGGGGGGCTGCAAGAAAAGGCGGAGGAAGGGGAGGAGGGGGGAGCAAGGGGGTGGCGGGGATGGGCAGAGCTCCGTCGGAAGGTCAATCACCCCCCGTTGAGAAGTGCCCCGTCCAGACCTAGACATGCAGAGCCTTGATTTCAATGCGCAGTCCCCTGGAATCCCCGACCCTGTCCCAAGGGCAGGTTGTCCACCCGGGGGGCCCAGCGAGGGCCCCCGGAGGGAGGCCGACAGTGGATGAAAGCCTCCCGTCGTGATTTGTTTTTAACGACGCGAGCAGGTCTAGGGAGTAGACTGTCTGGGTCTTCCTCTGAGGGGCAGCGATCGGGGGGGGGCTGGCATAAGGTGCGGGACGGGAAAATGACCACAGCCACTGCTTCTTGTTTGCGCCGCCTTCCAGCCTGCCGAAAAAGAAGCAGTGGTTGTGGTCATTTCCCTGGTGCCAAGCTCAACGAAAATGACCACAACCACTGCTTTGTTTCTGCTGGCTGGAAGGCGGCAACAAAAGAAAAGCAGTGGCTGTGGCCGTTTTCACGTCCCGTATAAGGGTGGGGGGGAACATCGACGTGGAACCGGCGATATTTCGCCAGCAGATCGGCGGTTGGCCCCCAATGGCAGCTCCACGCGGGTGACGACGATGATGCTGCTGCTGCTGCTGCTGCTGATACTGATGATGCTGACGATGATGATGCTGATGCTGATGACGACGATGATGATGATACCGATAATAGTGGTGATGCTGATGATGATTGTGATGCTGATGATGATCATGCTGGTCATGCTGATGATGCTGATGATGATGATGATGCTGCTGATGATGTTGATGCTAATGACCGTACTGATGGGAGGCTCATCGCTCATCGTGGAGATACCAATGCCGATGGCGACGACGATGGCAACTCTGACAATCATGAGGAGGAGGAGGCGGAGGAGGAGGAGGAGGAGGAGGAGGAGGAGGAGGAGGATGAGGGAGGACGAAGAGGAGTAGGAGGGAGGAGGAGGAAGGGGAGGAGAAGGAGGCGGTGAAGGCGGGGGGGCGGGGAGAAGGTGGATGGGGGAGTAGAGGAGGATGATCCTTGCTAGAGGAGTGGAGGTAGGATGGAGACGAAGACGAGTCTTCGACTCCTCCTGTTGCGCAACATACCTCCTCGTCTGCCCCTGTCTTGGCCCTCCCTCATCCTCCTTGCCCTCCGTTGTCATCATCATCGTCATCATAATCACCATCATCGTCATTCGCATCATCACCGTCATCGCCATCGTCATCGTCATCGTCATCGGCGTCCTCATTCATCTCGTCATTATCACCACCGTCGTCGCCGTCGTCGATCGTCGTCGCCTGTTGTCGTGGTCGTTGTCGTCGAGGGCGTCGCGTCGCGCGCGCAGCCATGTCGGCCCTTGCGACCGCGTCCAGCCGCGCCGGGCGGGCCCGTGCCCATTCTGTTACTCGCGCGGACCTGTTTCTCTGTTGAGCCAGGCGTTGTTGCTTTGGGGGGAGGGGGCGGGGGGGAAGGAAGAATGAGGAGGGAGGAGGGAGGAGGGAGGGTGGGAGGAGGAGGATGTGGGTGCCGCTGCTGTTGCTGCTGATGATGCTGATGCTGATGCTGATGCTGCTGCTGCTGCTGATGCTGCTGCTGATGATAATGACAGTGATGATGATGATGATGATGATGATGATGATGCTGATGACGTGATGATGGTTGAGTTGGTGATGCTGGTGCTGATGACTAAGATGATGATGTGGGTGTCGATGATGATGCTGATGATGATAATGATGCTGCTGCCGATGATGATGATGACAATGGTGGCGATGCTGATGCTGATGATGTTGCTGATGATGATGATGATGGTCAGGACGATGATGATGGTGCTGATGATTATGATGGTAATGCTGAGTGTTGTGATGGTAACGATGCTGATGCTGCTGACGATGATGATGATGCTGATGTTGCTGCTGATGACGATGGCCATGATGATGATGATGATGATGCTGATGGTGATGATGATTAGGATGCTGATGATGACGAGGTGCATAATGATGGCTGTAATGCTGATGACGACGGTGGCCATGATACTGATGATTATAATGGTGATGGTGATTGCGATGGTGATTCTGGTAGTGATGCAATCATGGTGATGCTGAGTCGGATGCTGCTGATGATGATACAGGTGACGATGTTCATGCTGATGATGGTGATGATGCCAATGATGATGATGATGCTGATGCTGATGATGATGATGATGATGATGATGCTGATGATGATGATGATGATGATGATGATGATGGTGGCGATGATGATGATGATGATGATGATGATGATGCTGATGCTGATGATGTTGATGATGATGCTGCTGCTGATGATGCTGATAATGATGATGCTGATGAGCATGATGATGCTGGTAACTCTGATGATGATGATGGTGATGGTGGTGATGCTGATGCTGATTTTGCTGATGATGCTGCTCATGCTCATGATGCTGGTGACGATGATGATGATGATGATGATGTTGATGATGTGTGTGATGATGATGTTGATGATGCTCATGATCATGGCGATTATGCTGATGGTGTTGATGCTGATTATGGTGATGAGGATGATGATGCTGATGATTACGATGCTGCTGAACATGATGGTGGGACTGATGATGATCCTGCTGCTGATGATGATGGTGATACAGATTTGTGTGATGATGATGAAGATTATGATGCTGCTGCTGATAATGTCGATGGCCATGTCGTTGACGAAGGTGATGCTGATGCTGCTGCTGATAATGACTGTGATGATGCTCGGGAGGATGATTATGACGATGGTGGTGATGGTGATTCTGAGGATGGCATTAATGATGATGATGAGGAGGATGGTGATGATGCTGATGATAATGATGATACTGATGATGGTGATGATGATGATGATGATGGTGATGTGATGGTGATAAGGATCATGATGATAATGATGCTGATCATGATGGTGGCTATGATGACGATGATGACGATGATGACGATGATGACGATGATGACGATGCTGCTGATGATGAGGATGACGATGATAATGATGCTGCTGATGATGCTGATGAGTACGATGTTGATGTTGATGCTGATTGGGATGTTGAGGTTGATGATGCTGGTGATGATGCTCATGATGCTGCTGCTGATGATGGTGACGATGATGATGGTGATTATCGTGCCGGTGGTGATGATGCTGATGCTCATGATCATGATGGTGAGGATGATTAGGATAACGGTGTTCATGGAGATTCCGATTTTGTTTACCAGGGGGTTGGAGTGGGATTTAGAGGAGGAGATGAAGGAGGAGGAGTAAGAAGAGAGTACCGACGATGAGGGTTTAGAATGGTTCTGGAGTAGTCCAGGAGCTCTGGGGCTCTTTGGAGGTTCTACCTGGTTCTACGAGGGCGAGATAGAGGACCACAATCAGACTGGGGAACGCCACCCGCTCGTTTGGCGACTTCCTGTGGCGTAGGGGGGTTGGGGGCTCCTGCGGGCATGCGGCGCACCGATCGCGCCCTGCCCGCTCGAGGGAGCGGCATGCGCGATGATGCCCAGTAGAAGATTTCGCAGTTGGCCTGCTGAAGGCGAGCCCCGAGTCCCAGGCTCAGTGGCCGGGCTTGCGGGGACTCGATGGGGATGTGCAGTGCAGTGCAGTGCAGGACCACAATCAATCCAGCACGCGCTTCTGCTGCGGCAAAAACCCGCCCGTCCCAGGGCACTCTGGATAAGCCTGAGCAAGTGGCTCCTTTCACTGTGGCGAGCACCCGTTGGGAAGGTGAGGGTCTCATGGACCTGCATTGTGCGAGCCCTTCGTTATGTGCATAGTGCGTCCACGGTCGCGTCAAATGTCGGCCGCATGTTGTAGCAACGCGCGCTCAGATGGCGAACATTTCTTTGCCCTCCATGCGCATAGTTGGCAGAGGATCGACTGATGCTGCGCAGCGCCTGGCCAATATCACGAACGTGAGAAAGAGTTCGCCCTCCGTCTGTTCAACTGCGGGAAGTATGACAACGGTGTCCATGCCCCTGGCCGTCAAGTCTGGGGAACTTGCATGTACGTTGACTGTGAATAGCAGGAGCATTGTCTGCGTGAGGGAACATCTGTCTTTACCTCTCCTCCTTCTCTTCCTCCTCCTCCTCCTCCTCCGCTCTCCTCCATCCCACCCTCCTGTTCTCTCTCCCTCCCCCTGTCCCTCCCTCTCGTCCCTGCAGGGCTGGGCTGGGTTGGATCGGGTCGGGCTGGGGCTCCCTCCCTTCCTCTCGGTCCTTGCTGAGCTGGGCTGGGCTGGTTTTGGATTCGGTCGGGCAGCGCGCCAGGGATGAGTGGCTTGGTTTGGTAGGGGCCGCGGGTGGGGGATGGTTGAGTCGGAGGGCACCAGCTGTACGCCTACACGGATCCTGGCTGGGCCGATCCTGGGACCAGGATCTGTGTTCTGTGTCCATGCCCTCCTGCCCGAGCCAGGAGAGCGCACGGGCCGGTCCCGAGGCCAGGACGGCATCGGCGAGGATCGGTGCTCTGGGGGGCCGGGCTGTCGCAGCTCGCCCTCCGACGCCTGGCCGGCGGATCCTCCCGTGGGGGGTGGGGGTCGACTGCGCGTAGGAGTGACCCTTCGCCGGAGTGACCATTGGTGCGGGCCCACTGGGTTCCAGTGGTAGCGTCTTGCGCGCTGGTGTTTGGTCCCCCCGCGGCCCCCCAGAAGCCGCGCACCAAAGGTCACTCTTACCCAGGGCCACTCTTGCGTGTTGTCGAGGGGGGGGGCCGCGGGGGAGACGCCCGGGGGGCCGCGGGGGGGCTCCGGCTCGCCGTGCGTCCCTGCGGGGAGGGGTCGCAAGGCCCAGCGGGGTGGGGTCCAGGCCTCCTTCGCCCCCTCGTCTTCAGGGTTGGGTCGGGCAGGCCCTCCAACAGGTTGTGGAGGAGGATCCATGGAGAGGACAGCATGTTGCCAAATACTTTCCAGGTGTCGGAAACATGTTCTAAACATGTTTCAAACATTCAAACAACATATTTCAAACATGTTTAGAACATTTTTCGACCTGTTCGAACACATCTTAAATTCAACGAAAGGACTGTTAGGGTGTCCATTGTCGTGGAATCCACAACCAGCAGGCTGTCTGTGGAAGAAGCAGTACACAAATAATCAGCAGATGGTCAACAGCGGTCCAGAGAGCACGACAAATCATCACCAGACTATTGTTCACCATTCTTGACTAGTCCTCCTGTAAAGGGGCATGCCCGGCTGCATCTTAGGGCCTCTCTTCCCTCTCCCCCCCTCCCGGGAGAGGGGGTGCCGCCTGCACGCCGCTGCCCGATCTCCGCACATGGGTCGGTTCCTCTCGGCCAGCGCGGGCCGGAGCTGGGAACTCGCCAGGAGGCGGGTTGCGCTGAGCGGATGAGTTCGGCCTCGCTGCTGGTGGCTCCTGGCGGGGGCTGGTTCACAGTCTTTCGACGGCGAGCGAAGGGGGAAAGTGGGAAGGAGCAGGCCTTCTCAGAAGGCGGCGGGACTTCTGAGACGCCCTCGCGCTTTCTGAGAGGTCCTGTCATGTCTTCGGGGGTTGCTCAGACAACTTCTCAGAAGGCCGGGGGACTTCTCTAGGCCTCCTAGATGGGGTCGGAGTAGATGGGGTCGGAGGATCGCGCCGTATCGTCGATGCATCGGCGATGCGGCTCGATGTGGAGCCCGATTTTCTCCACGTCGGCGCCGCCGATTCAGCGCCGACATCGGTGATGCGTCGCTGGTGCCTCGCCAGTGCATCGCCGATGCGTCGCCACTGCATCGCCGATGCATCGGCGCTCTGGCGCGAGCCTCTCCGACCCCATATCTACTCGGACCCCACCTACAGTCGGGGCGCTGAAGAAGGAACCCTTCTCGTTGGGGAGGGGCTCCGTGTTCCTTCATTGTTTTACAGCTTGCCTGAGGTTTTCCTTAGGTTTTCGATGGGCAATCAAAGTTTGACCTCTGGAAAAATGGGGCCCCATTCCTTATTTAGGGTTCCTTAGGTCAACGCCTCGACCGTATAGGAGGCCTCTACGACTTCGAGCCTCCCGAGAAGGCCCTCCCCCTCGCACTTCCCCCCGGGGCTCGCCGCCGAGGCTCGGGCCGAATCGGTGGCCCGGCGGAGGCCGGCCTCGCCGCCGGTGTGCCTCGGCTCGGTGGGGGGGGGGGCTCTGAGACGGGGTCAGTGCAGAGGGGCGTCAGCCAGAGCGCCAGAGCTTGCAGGGTCCTGCAGGGCCAGGCTCCCATGGACCCGGGCTTGGGAGGCAGGATCCTGCAGGGGCCTGCAGGATCTCGCAGGCCTCTGCAAGCCCTGGCTGGCCCGGGTCTGGGCTGACCCGGGCCAGGAGAGCCCCGACCTCGGGGGGAGGGGTTCGCCCGTCCGCCCCGGACGGAGTCCGGCCTCGCCGCCCACGGAGGGGTGGCGACGTGGTGGGGCGCCCTCTCCTGGCATCGGCCCCGCTGCGCGCCCCCCCCCCCCCCTCGCAGCAAGGCCTGTCGCTTGGCATCGCTCGGACGTGTGCATTTTTCCTCCGGCGAGGACCATCGAGAAGCATCCTTGATCATTTGGCGAAAAGCCACGCACGAAACCGGAAAAAACACAGGGAATGGACGTCCGAGCGATGGCCAGGTCGGGAGTGGTTGGTGTCTGGAGTCGCGACGTCCCTCGCGTCTCCTCGGCCTCTTGCTTCCCAGCGCGTTGCAGGTAGGGTCGAAACAGGGGTGACGTCGCCTCCGTCCCTGCTGTTCACAAACTTAAATGCGGGCGACATGGACAAATAGGGAAGCGCCCTCTCCCTCAGAACCCCTCGAGCAAAGACAAAATCTCGACGGAAGGTTTTCGCCAGTCTCCGCCTCTGGGAGCCTCTCCCGGGCCTCGGGGCCGGCAGCGGACGGCTCAGGATGAAAACCCAGCCCTGGGAATGTGCTGAGATTTCTGGGGGTCGACGGCATGAAAACATCATGACGTCAGGGGTCGGTTCCTCTCAGCGGGCGAGCGAGGGGGAAAAGGTTCAGGTACCCTTAAGCCTATAGCGCGCTTGGTAATCCTCCTCCTCCTCCTCCTCTCCTCGTACTCCTCCTCCTCCTCCTCCTCCTCCTCTTCCTCCTCCTCCAGTTCCTCCTCTCCTCTCCTCCTCCTCCTGTATCCTTTCCTCCTCCTTCTCCTACTCCCTCTACCCTCCTCCTCACTCTCCTCCCTCCTCTCCTCCTCCTCTCCTCCTTTCCTCCCCACATCCTCTCCTCTCATACCTCCTCACCTCTCTTCCACTTATTCTCTTCCTCTCTTCCCTATCCTCATCCTCCTCCTCCTCCTATCACATTCTCCTCCTCTTGCTCCTCCTCCTCCCTCCTCCCTGCTCCCTCCTCCCTCCTCCCTCCTCCCTCCTCCCTCCTCGTCAGACAAACATATGTTTGCCTCGATGTCATGGATCGTGGATCCCGCGCGGCGGATGCGGGCCATTTGCGGGCAGTCCCTCTGCGAGTACTTAGCTGAACGTAGCTGGCCCTGGACTTGCCTGTCTGGAGGCACAGTGGTCGGTGTGTGGTGGCTCCTGCGCAAGAGGTTTCCTCCTGTCATGAAGCTGCGCCCCTCAAGCGGATTCGGGCCACGATTTTGTTTTCCAGCAGAGCAGATAGTGTATGTTGATGCTGTTTGCTTCGTTTTTGTTCAGATGTCGTCGCGTCGCCGACGCGCCCCGAAGTTGGCATTCGGCTTGGGGCATGTACGCGCTCACGGCTCACGAGTTGCATTTGCACAGCCTGACGACAAGCATCCGTGCCCGACGATGCGAAGGCTGCCCTGTGGGCCACCCCAGCCAGCCATTCACATCCCTCCTCCATCCTTCCTCTCCCTCATCTGGCCTCTTGGCTTCCTCGTGATGCCTTGAGTCGAGCCCTTTGCCTTCTCGTAGCGCTTGCGGGGCCCAGGAACGGAGTTCGGCGATGGCGCACCGCTCGGCTTTCCTTGTGGCGAAGAAGGGCGTAGTTCTGAGCGGGTTGGGAACGCATGAGTTACTTTGGCTTCGTTTAGCGCGGTTGCCTCCTGTTGCAGTGTGGTGTTCGCAAGGTGCACTTGTCATAGTTGTTGTTTTGAATGCTGCTGGAGAGAATTCCAGTTGATGTTGTGCAATCATGTTTTGAATGCTTGGTGTCTGGTGGTTTCCCCACATCCTGTTCGACATCCGTCCCAGGGGGATGGAGGGGAGCCACAAGGGCTAAGCTCAGGCACTGGCCGATCCTCTCCCCTTGGGAGTATCTCAATGTCTTTGCTTGGTGTGTTCTTGGGTTTCGCTTCGGGTGGTCATGATTCAGCTGTTGCCGGTTCCGCTGGCGTCTTCAGGCAGTTTGCGAGGTGGGCTGGGTGCCCGTGGCTTCCATTCAAGTGATGGCGCTCATCTGGATTCCCCGCCGTCTTCGCGGTCGAGGTAGCAGCAACGCCCGCTGCCACGGCGTCGGTCTCAGGTGGCCTCCAGTTTCATTATGTCACGTTTGTTGGCGCATCGGTTGCTGGACATATGGTGAATGGAGCCACTGCCTCAAGCATCGGCCTGGCAGTTCATTTTGGCAGTCGTCGCAGGGGTGTTGCTACTGGTGGACTTCACCCTGCTCTACTTAAATGGGCAAGGTGACATATTTTCGTTGTGGTCGGGCACGTCTCGCTCGCGGTTTCCGTGGCGGTCAGGGAAGCGAGAGGGGTCACGGTTTACTCAAACGACTACGTCGGACAATTTGTTCTTGTTCCTGCTCCGCCGCCTCCCCTGCCCGAGGAGGTCACCTCGGCGCAGGTTGCGTGCCTCCCTGGTCCCTCCCTGGCGCCCATGGTTCCTCCCGAGCGGCTCGGCGTGTGTAAAGGTGACCACGTCGTGCGCCGCCCCTCCGAGCAGCAGCAACACCGTGAGAAACAGCACCTGCCCAGTCCACCGTTACGCGCGCCTTGGCCCCCGCACTCGCGCCCCCTGCTCGCCCCCCCCATCCCCGCCCCCCTTCCCGCCCCCTCTTTCTCGGGAGCCCCTAAACCAGGTGCTGAAATCCCCCAGAAGTCACCGCCGGGTTTCGGAACGCGGGGTCGCCGCCGAGCTCCTTGACTCCTGGACCCACCAGCGTTTCGGGACATCCTCGAAAAGCCATACGAGCTCCCCAGCTGGGTGGCGACACCAAATCGCCCGAGACTAACCCGAGTAAGCGATTAAGGAACCCCCCCCCCTCTCCGGTGAAAGGATAACGCACCCGGCGCCCGGAAGCGTTATCCTGGCACCAGGAGGGGGCTCCTTATCCTTTCCTTAGCTTTCCTCATCTTTTCTCAGTTTTTTCTTAGCTTTTCTAAGCTTTTCCTTAGTTTTTCTCAGCTTTTCCTTATTCGTATTCGTATTCTT